GACGTGCCCAGGTGATGCAGCGTGCATGTTGCTTTTCCGGGCGGACGTTGCCAACCGACGCCACCCGTGTCCAATTCTCCTTCTCTGTTGCCGGACGGCAGCAAAAGACTCAGCTACCCAGAGACTGGAATTTGGTGCCTGGCAGAGCGGCTTGGCAAGTTCACTCGAACGGCAAACATGCTTCTTAGCTGGTTTGCCATGCGACCAAGGCGTGCTTCAGGGCGCAAGGCCGCTGTCAAACCATTTCAAGCAACAGCCATCACCGCTGAGACCTGTGGGCCTTGGGGGCCCTTTCTAATGTTGCAGGTGGCTGAGCGTTCCAAAATGCCGACAGAGCTGTGCCACAGCGGCGTGAAACTGACCCACAAGAAGCACTTAGCATGCGCTGATGGCCCATGAGGGCAACGACTCGAAGACTAACGCTCAGAGGCTGTCAGTGTGTTGGCTGGGCGCAGCCGCCCGCAGAGCTTGCGGCCTCTGCTCAGGGACTTCGGGTGCGGTGCTAGTGGGCTTTGCTTGACTGCCTATTTTTTCGCACAACATCCCGACCTGGCCAAAGGCATGTTTACCGGCAAGGAGTCAGGGCCAAGCCCCTTTCTGCAGCTTCCCTTTTTCAGTCAGTGAGGCCTTAAGCACATGGCCCTCAACTATTTCAAAAGGGAAAGCCTTGGTTCAGGCCTTTGGAGGAGTTGTGCGTGTTCCGGTTGGAAGCCGGACGCCAGTTCCGCAGGGCGCCGTAACCTTCTGCGCCTAGAGGCTTCACGATGCCAATGTCGAGGTTGCCAAGTAGGCCAGGTGGTTTGGCCGATTCAGTCGCAGAATAGACCGACCTTTGCGTGCTGCTTCTTAGCTGATGCATCATGCGACCGCGCAAAGTGAGCCCTACTTCAGCGACTTTGCGGACAAGCCGCATTCAATTGTGGCCGAGGGCCAAGACCTGCTTAGCTTTCAGACAGTCGAGCCTTCCAAAATGCTGTCTCAACCGTACCCTCGCCGCCTGACCTACAAGGTTCGTCATGTAGCACGCGCCAACGCCCATGCCAGTTTGCGGCCTTGTAACCCAAGCAGTGCGCGGAGTACTGACATCATGTTAAACATGCTTTCTCATGACTGAGTGGGCAGCCTTTTGGGCTCGAGCCCATTACATGGACCGGTCCGTTGTCACTGCAGCAGGCACTGGGTCTCTTTCAGGGCTGGCACTTAATCTGCTGGCGCAAGGACTGGCAAATCCTTTGCCTCCGAGTGGAAATCTGCTGGAGTGTCCTGTCTGCCTGGATATCCAGGTTTCTGAAATTGACCTTCGATCCTTGGGATTGGGACTTCTGCTTGGGATTGCCATTGGACCCTTGATCGACTTGCTGTACGGCCTGAAGCTGCTCTGGCGGCGTGCTGTTGCCAGGTGGTGGGGATCTCTTGTCCGGCCGCATCCTTTTCCTCTGTACCGAGTGCATGAGTGAAACCGAGATCCAGCTGCTTCGGAAAGAGCTCCGGGCCCTCCAGACTCAGGTGGCTCACCTTCAGATTCGGGTTGCTGAACTTGAAGGGTTTGAGGTTGTGTCCGGCGTGGGTGACTACGAAGGGTACCCTCCTCAGCCCGAAGAGACCGGGTCTGCTTCAGCGTCAGCCTCCCCGAGTGTGCCTGTGACTTCGTCTACTCCAAGTCCGGCGGGACCTGTGGTTGAAGAGGCCAGCGAAGGACAGACCTGGGAGTTCCGCCTGTCTGTTGCCAGGGAGATAGGAGGGTTCTTGAGGCGCTCCTTGGAAGGTGTAAGTCAGGGAACTTCAGGAAGACACAAGGTTTCATTGAAAAGCCGGCTCTACATTATCATCAGGGACCGGGCAGGGAATATCTACACGGACCCAGTGAAGATCGTGCGATCGTGGCGAGAAGCCAAGGCTCTTGTTGACAAGGAGGGCGACCTGGGCAACTCAGTGTTCGTTGGAGTGGCAAGTGAGAAAGAAGCAAAGGCTGCGGTCTCTGAGGCGGGGTTCACCTGGCCCCCTTCTGAGGCCTAATGTCGGAAGAGAGTGATCAAGACGAGGGCGTTGACGCCCGGAGCTCCCTCGTCTTCAAGGAGAACCGGACGAACAATTCTTACAAGGTGGGATCGCTTGCGGGCTCCGTAGCCGGTGAGACTTCTGCCACTGTGTGCATCGCAGAGCTTGGTGGTAGGCTGATTGTAGCTGTACCTGGAACTGCCTGGGCCAAGAAGGTGGCCAAGCGAAAGTTGGAGAAGAGCACCCTCGGCAAAGCCCTTGGCGTGGACGTGGTGGGGTGTTCTATATCTGACTTGGAGAGTCCTCTACCTGAAGTGGTCATCAAAGCATGGGTGGGCGTACTGTCTATGCACGACGAGGCTCGGATCGAGTTCACGGCCGAGCCCCCGACCTACAACTTTGGGGATGGGATTCTGCCGTACGGGGAGGCCCTTGTACGGGTGGCGGACGAGCACTTCGCCTTCACCACTGCGGAATCCGGAGGGGGCGGCGACGGGATCTTCAAGCGGATGTCGGTCGTCGAGTCTGGATTGGCAGACATGCGCGAGATGCTGCAGACACTTGTGAGCCAGAAGGTTGGGGCCTCAGCGACGACCGCGACGGGGGCAAAGCCAAAAGCTCGGGCGACTCCTGCAAAGAAGAGATCGGAAACCACCGCCCCGCAGCCAGCTGGAGATCTGGGAGGCTTGGACAGGGGAACTCTAGCAGCGGCAAGGTCAGCAGGGATTCCGGAAGACAGCCTCAAGGAGATGGCTCGGTTGATAGGGGCGAAGCGGAACAAGGTCGAGGAGATCACGATTCCGGAGGCGCTGGAGGAAGACGACGGGGCCGGCATCGACGGAGACTTTCTCGACGAGCCTGGCGACCTCGAGGAGACTGCCGAGCTGGGGGGCAAGGACTTGATCGAGACCGCTGTGGTCCAGCTCACTCGGCTTGTCAGCACCCTTGCTCAGGACAAGCAGAAGAAGGGTCAGGACCTCGAGGCTCTTTTGGATCAAGCACCTGGGAGCAGCTCGGCTTCGGACAGCACCTTCTCGGGGGCTCGCCGCAGCCACGCTACAGCGCTGAGGGCTCTGACCAAAGCCTTCAACGAGAGCCCCAGACTGATATTCGAAGCCATCGAGGGCCAGATGGAGAAGGATTTCAGTCATACTCCGGCGGCTCTGAGCTCAGGAGTGTGTTCGGCCAGGGCCTGGCTTTGCAGTCGGTCTCGCATGGGCAACTTCCAGAACCACGTGAGGTGGAGCTGGCAAGTCGGAGGCATACTCGACGAGCTTGCTGCTGGAGAACCGGATCGAGCCCGAGCCCGAGCAGCGCTGCTCCTTGCAGCCGCCGATCAGGCAAGTATCGACGGGGGCAGCTGGATAATGTCAACTGTCTCTCTTCTCGAGCCATTGCCGCCCTACCACGAGTTTTCGAAGCATTCCCTACCATCCCCAGCGGAGGCCCAAGTCAGTGCTCTCTACGATCCGAGATGGACAGAGATTTTCTTGGGCAGCCTGAAGGACAGGGAGAGCTACAACGAGGCAAAGAGGAAGCTTCAGGCCGCAGACAGAGGACGCGGGCACACAGCCCATCAGAGTGCGGACGAGCCATCTGGCGGCCAGCCACCCAAAGGGAAAGGCAAAGGCGGCAAGGGCGCGGGAGGTGGTTCGGAGCAGAAGCCCGACAAGCAGTAGGCGCGTCGGCCGAGGGGGAAGGCGACAGGGACGAAGCTTCAGCTTTGCCCGCCCCCTCGAATCCAAGTCCCTTTTCTTCACATTTGCAGTCACCATGCAAGACAGGAGTGCCTTGTAAAGAAGGTTCAGGGAGTCATCCAGATCCAGGCCGTCCTGGCAGACCGCTTCGTGATCCTGTTAAGCATGTTCCTGGCTCCTGCGTGGGACCGGTTGATCCTTTTTCAGTTTTTGCAAGTTATGTTCAGCAAATTTTCTGCTGTCCGCGTCTAGGGCAATTCTTGAAAAGCTGCCTTCGAAAAGCCGAGCCGGGCAAACCCCCTGGCGAACCTCGCAGAGCACCAGGTGAAGGAATCTGGCCAATGCCTCTGCCCTACCCTGAGGTGTTCAATGCAAACCCTAAGAGCCTTACACAGTCTGATCTTAAGAAGCTTGTGGTTAGCGTGCAAATCGGTGTGTTGAACTACCTTGACTTGGGTAGACCTCCCAGGGCTCCGTCTAGATGCCATAGAGGCGGACCTCTTTCACTTCAGCAGTGGGAGGTTGTGAAGCGATTTGAGTGTTTCCTGGATGCCTGGTTTCAACTCGGCACCCTCAGCGCTTCTGATATGGGGAGGACAGCTGGCAAAGTCGAAGATTTGGAGAGAGCACTCCAGCAGCTTCAGCAGTTGTCCGATGCCAGTTGTTCTCCTCAACAAGGTCGGAATCCAGAGCTAGGGCGGCTTCATGGAACAAAAGTCGGGACCTTCAAGCATGTCGAAGCTGATAGATTGCAATTCCGAGGGTTTCCCGAATTTGACCCGAGGCCGTTCCTTGATGCGTATTCCCGAGAAATTTATGAGCATCCCTTTGATCATGCCATTGACCCCGAAGATTTCATGGGAAAAATTCCACGGGTCAGAGTTCACTGCACTCGCGAGGAGAGACTCAAGCTCTATCAGCTCTTGGACAAATCCAGGCGAGTCAAGTTATTCACTTCTGATCAGGTCAGAGAAAGATTTGGCTCAGGTGTTTTCGCCGTTCTGAAGTCCCTGGAATACGACAGATTGATTCTGGACTCGAGGCCCCATAATCTTCTTGAAAATCCTCCCGGGAGATTTATTCAGACTCTGGGGTCAGGCGAAGCACTCACTCATCTTCATTTAGAAGGCGGTGAACGCCTCTACATCAGCAGCAACGACATCCGAGACTTTTACCATTTGTTTCATGTCAGCCCGGACCGATGCAGACGAAACTGTTTAGTCGGAACATTAAGCCCCAGAGAAGCATCTACGCTGCAGGCTTTCCGACCAAACCTGTGGAATGTCGAGAAGATCTATGTCGGGCTGAACTGCCTGGCCATGGGCGACACTCAAGCAGTTGAGATAGCTCAGACATGTCATGTTGGTCTTTGTGCGCAAGAAGGTATTTTGGATGAGGAAATCTTGATTGCCATGAATCTTGCCCCACCTAGAGGAAAGACTGG